AAATATAAATATATCTGAAGAATTCTTAGGACATCTCCCAGGATCAGAACTCAGTTTGATCGCTACAACTTTATGAAGTTAGCCTTAGTTCCTCGCTACCTGGAAGTAGCAGGCCTGGCAGAAGGTTTTGTTTGTTTGTTTGAAAATTAAGTTTTAAATAATATAGCTCAAAGCCACTTTGTTAGTACTTTGCATTCACTCAAATAATCTCAGATTATCTCATTCATTATTATAGATAGGCGAAGAGCGTATTTGATTTCCCAAGGAGCCCATTTAAGTATTGTTTTTATCTTTGAGGAAGTTCCCTTGAGATAGTCAAGCTTTGGAAAGTTTGTTCCCCAGCAGGGTTTTCTCAAGCTCCACATATGTTGTAAGGTTAAGCAATCCACTGATCTTAAATTTAGAAGATTGAATTCCCTTCCCATAGGAAAATCTGGTAACAGTCAGTGTTGAGTACAGTTAGAAAAAGTCAGGACTTTTTTGAAGCATACAGACTTGGATTAAAAAATCCCAACTTTAGACTTTATTAAGACAAGGTTTTGATCCCTCTGAGACATAGTTTCTTTATCTGTAAAATATAGATTATACTACCTACCACATGTTATTTAAGGAGGATTACACGAAATAGTGTCCATGTGGTGCATAGTATCTGGTATGCTGTAGCTCAGGTAGGTAATAAATATCAGTATACTTTCCTTTCCATGTTTCTATACCGTTCAGAGATCACTTTACCTTCAATAGCAGGGATAATTTTTTTTCTTTATAGGAAAAGCAAGATGAGTTTCAGAGATCTAACTTAACACTGAGACAAGTAAACGAGGTGTTTGTCAAAAAGCAATTAGTATATTGCTTATTTTTATTTTCATTTCAAGAAAAAATACTTAATTCTAATTTCTTTAAGTTTATCTCAGTGAGTACATTTAATTATCATTCATGCCATATTGCAAGGAAGATGCATATTATACATATTTTCCAGATGAGGAAACAGGGGTGCTAAGAAGATGAGTCCTTTGCTTAAGTTGTGCAACTAATAGAAATAGAATCGGGACAAGAACCCTGGGCCTTGTCATCATGGTTTAGTGCTTTCTTCCAGTACGTCATGCGGACAGGGAGGTCAGCACTGCCCTTGTCTTTACAGTGGTCACCTCCAGCCTTTTCTATAGAAAACGTCAATGTTACATACCTCCACTACCTATGGGGTTCAATGACTTCATCTTTCCTTTTAAATAAAGATCATCTGCTTGTATTAATAGCAACGAAGTGACGAAAGAGAAAGTCAAAAAAGCATGACAGTAGTAGGTAACAGTCATGTGTGTACCCTGAGGTTCAAAATCCGGAGATCTCAAAAGAATTTGTGTAAATTTGAACAGAATGAAAATCTTAAAATCAATGTTTGTGTACCATGTGCTGATTGTACTTTACTGAAAATAAACTTGCGTGTGTACTTTGCTCAAAGGGACTGCTTGCCATGAAAATCCACCTGGATTTGAAACAAATAATTTATTCACAAAAGTGCATATAAATCACTGCCTTAACATACAAAGTTTCTTGTCCCATTAAGATAGCAATGTTTCCAAAATTCAGTTTCTGTACATTTTAGGGTTGTATTTGTTGCAAGATTCATCTGGAATAAAGACTTTTAAATATAAAACTGGAATAAAATAGTCACACCTTCCAACATTGACAATATTTTTAATTCCTTGCTTCTTCTTAATTTCCTATCTAATGTTTATATTTTGAAGGAATAGAATATGCCTTTTTCATCTCTTCTCTATTACAGTGCCCAGCATAATATCTGGGACAATAAATATTTATTAAATGTTATTTAACAAAGAAAAATGTATTTATTAATAATTCTCATAGCATCCCTGTGAGGTAAGGCAAGTATTATCACCATTTCGCTGGGGTGAAAATGAAGACTTGCACCAGCACAGGAAAGGTGCTTACAGGCCATCATGCCTGGTATTCTGCATCATCAGGACCAGGAATTTTTCTGTCTGCAATTTAGATTATTTTGGACCCAAATTTAAGGATTTAAATGGTAATCTGGCCAAGCATTTAGTTAGTTATACAACAGAGAAAATGAGGTGAACACACCAGAATATAACTAATCCTTACCATTCACTACTGTTAATCAGAGTTGAAGGGTGGAAGCCTTGGCAACACATACGTCATTGTCATTGTAGTACACTTATATTTCTTCAATTTAAATGTATTTTCTTCCCAGGCTGTGTCCAGAGTTTCCAAGGCTGCTTGCTACAAAACTATGTAACTTTAGCCAAACAAATTCCAATGAGAATGTGTGTTCTTGAATCATGTCTATTGGACCCAGGCTATCCAAGATTCTTCAGTTTTGGGCTGAAGAATGACTTTTTGCCCTGGCTTTCTTCAAATGTGCTTCTACTGATTAGCGATGATGAGATTTCCACCCACCTCATTTGAGGCTAGATTGCCATTTTTGAGAAATGAAATCCAGAAAGTGTTTCTTGTGTTTATCAAAAGAACTATGCCCATACAGAAGAAAAGATAGTGTGTTATATGTAATTTCCATGTATTTTGTTCATTTCATTAATCCAGAGTCGTTTGGCATTGCATTTGCAGGAATTCTTTCACAGAGGATGAGAACACTGAAAAACCACAAGTGCCATTTGATGCAAGGGGCAATAAAAAAGGTAAAAGGATATATTCCC